ACCGAGTCAAAGTACGGAGGCAGGCTGCTACTACGAGCACCTGGAGGGGCCTCACCCACTCCCGAGGTTATCGACGACCCAGGCAACTGAGTGTTCTCGGTCGTTCCTTCGGTCGAGATGTTGACCCCGGCGTGGCGGGCGCGGGCTCCATGGTGCTTGCAAGCGTGAAGTCCTTTAGTCAAACGAGACTGATAAATTTATTGTTGTGTCTGCCGGCCCTGAACTGGCAGTGACTCCTTTAGAACTCGATGCACCGGGTTCAAAGGTAAACGAAGACTGACAATGTTAAAGGTCATACTTAGATCTACTGATTCACAACGCACATGTGCATCCCCTATCGAGCTCTCTTCGGTCGTGTTGACAGATCCTCGACCAATGGGTATGGAGTGCGCTTGCAAGGATACTACTACCTGTCTCTTGCTAAGATACTCCACACCCAACACTATGTACATTCAACGTACATAGTAGTACAACTTGTGTACTGACTGCTACGTACATAAAGCTTGCGATATCATTACCACTATTAATAGGAAGCCTCACATTCGCCATTGATATGTGACCTGTGCGATAATCCGCAACAATAGCCCGAGACTTCCGTCATGATCGTAAATGACTAGTCAAAGTCCGGCAACTTCAACACTGGTGCCTGTTGTAACGCAGCCTTAATGGTCAAAAACGCCTGGCTGTGTTGATCCATCGATTCCCATGGAACATTGTCCTTCGCGAGCTTGCTGATCAAGTGTCCCTGTTGTGCAGTTTACTCTTAGTCGAGAAATGGAACGTCGACTTCAACAACACGTAATTGATTTTAAATCGAAGGTCAAGTCGACTTAGTGGACAACCTCGAGGCATTTTAGGTTGCCTCGGAGTAGTATTTTCGTAGTGTTACTGCGTCTCCATGCTACACTGCGCTGGGAATTGAAAGCCACGAACTGCAGATATTACCAAGGACATAAATTAATTTGACTTTTAAGTCGAGATCATGGCTCCTAATCACCACAAGACGGATTGGAGGGCGTGGCGTCTCCACCATTGAACACGGTCACTTCCTTGGCGAATTGGTTGATGCCTTTGTACACTTCGAGGCCGCGTGTCTTGATGGTCGTCATGTCCACGACAAAATCATGGCCGATAATTTCAAACTGCAGGACAGGCTTCTTAAACTCACGGAACGCGTAATCTTGAAACAATCCATACGACAATCCATGCGAAGAGAAAAATCTTTGAAGCCACGGTACAACGGTGTACGCCCCCAGGACGCTTTCCAATCCACGGCCGAGGACGTCAAACTTCTCGTCAAACCCGTCGCCGATTGGCTGGTCATTGTCTCCGTACGGGTAGAAGATGAGCCCAAAGAGCGAGTGAATGTCAATAAACCCTT